GAACTGCTGCTCCTCCAGGAATGATTTTGGAGGTGCCTTCTGCTCTTGTGCAGAGTGCTAGCACAAGACTCGAGTCACCCAGAAGCCCTTAACATTAAGGGGCTTAAGTGATAAGCAGACCTGTGAAGAGTCAAGCCTCACGCAGGGGCAAGATAGGGTAGATAAAAACCTCTGGCTTAATTTAACTCAGCTACTGCTCTGCTCTTTTCAGACACTGTATATTCATACTCAGAGTTATCTGAAAATACCCAAGTTTGAATGATGTTTTTTATCCCTCTTTGCCCTCCTGCTTAGATGTTTTCTGGGAGCCCTGCTCAGGCTGAAACTCTGATCCTGAATCTGGAAAAAAATATTTTTACTGTCTGTACAAATAAAAAAACCAGAGCCCTCAAAACAAAAAAAGCAAAGAAGCAGGATGGCTGGTGGGTGCTCACCTTACGATCGTTGTAGAAAGGGTCGAGATCCTCCAATGGCTCCCCAATGAGCTCAGGAGGAACAGTCCCATAGATATCGGGCAGCTTCTTGCAAGCTTGCAAATCAAACTGAGGCTGAGGCTTCTCTTCTTCACCCAGCTGCTCTCTGTATTCCTGCTTTGCATTCCTTGCAAGCTTCTCCGCAATTCGTTTCTCAATAGCAGCCAAGGATTCAGGCGTGAACCGGTGGAAGCTGTTAGTACCCGGTGGTAACAAGAAGTCAGCCATCTTTTCATCCTGCTTTGTCTTTACTGGTCTTTACTCCTAGTAGTGGAAACAGCTGAAACAAAAAGTACCAAAGGTCAGTGACAGGAGCAAAGCAAGAAGAACATAGCCATCAGAATGAAAAAAAATAACCAGATAATTTGTAGACCACCTATTACCAGGAAACCCTTCATCTATTTTTATGCAGTTAGTTGAACATCAAGGAAAACAGAAATGACTGAAACTGTAATTTCAATTAGGAATCACTCCTGATCAGAGCTACAAAGACTTTGTAGATGGACTGTGGAGTAGTCTTAAGTTTTTCAGTCAGATGGGATCCTAAATCCAAACTAAGGAGTAACTTATATTCATACAAGCTTAAGTTTCATTGAAAGCCACAGGGACTTGGATTCCTAACTCATTTTTGAAAATGCAGCTCTGGGAGTGGATGAACAATGTGCCTAAGATGACTGAAAGGCAGATTTAAATCGGCCAATCTCTGGCCACATGATGCAAACTCTAAAAATGCCCCAGCTGTTCTATTCCAAATTTAAAGAGTGAAGGGTCAAGTTCAGATTCTTAAATCACATAGAAATTCTTCATAAAATCTGTCTTAGGCTTCTGCGGCATAAATTTTATTCTCCTTTGGGGTAGGAAATACCATCTTCAAGATATCTGTCAAAACTTTTGAGCATTTTCTTCTCCTCCACACCCTACAATCTGAAGGATGTTGGAAGCCCAAATGTGCCTGGCAAAGCCCTGGGACCTTCATGACAGCACTCCAAGCTTCTGAGATGCTTGAATAGCCACTGTTGCCAGTTCATCACATCCAAAAACCAGGCTCCTTCTATCCAATACCAGTTTGATCATCTATCCCAAACCTGTGAGGTTTGACCATCTTGGGTTGATGGTGCTTCACTGATAACACTTCCAAACCCCGCCTGAACGAAAATGAGTGAGAATTGCCACATCTCTTCAACTTAAATTAACAAAACATCTCTTCAACTTACATTAATAAAGCCAAGTGTGAAAAACACAGCAGAACAAAAAGCCGTCTTGTTTCTGCACTAAACAACATGGATAGCTGTGAAAATCAATGTAAAGCCACTGTTTGAAAAGGGATGAAGCTTATCCCTGTTCTAGTAGCCTGCACAAATCCATCCAAGTTCACCAAAACTGTATTTTGCAATTTAATAGTGACTTTAGTGGCATGTTTTTCCAGCAAGAGAATGCCTTACTATGCAACAACTAAAACTAATTTCACAGAAGAAATGCAGCCCTTGGTTTTTTTACTACCACAGGACCATTCATACTAAATCAGAATATAAGCTGGTGACAAACAAAACAGCAGATTTCGAGGTGGGCTACCCTATAGCATTCATCGACGTGTGCAGGATACAATTCTTCGTTCACCCACGATTGTTGTTTTCTGCTTTTCAGATGGGATCTGTCTATTTACGGCGGATAGTTCCAGATCGCTTGCTTCTATTAGGCTCTGTGATGACAGTATTTTTGCTAGCAAACACGGCTTTAACTGGACTCTGCCTGACAAATAGCATATTTATTGACTCAATTTATTTAAGTAAACTACTCTTTCAAATAACTACTGTTTTTCCTATTCTGACTTTGTTTTAAAATGAATTCATTAAATTGTCATTGATCACAGCCTATCATACAGGAGTGATTTACTGGAGCTTGTACATTAATCTCTGCATTACTGCTTGTTTGAACAAGGCTAAAATGAACTAGCCTTCCTAGAGTTTGGGTAGTCTGACATGCTTCTTTATTTAGATTTTTTCTCTATTCCTTTCCCCTCGCCCCCCACATCATTTGTTTTATCCCCCTCCTCCTGAAAAACAGGGAATTAGAAGCTTTCCCACAAATGGAGTTTTATTATGCTCAATGCTTTGTGACTCAGCACCAGTGCAAGCAAATAGAATTTCACTTTCTAAAAATTACATCAGTACAGGTGGCCAGAGAATTCTCAGAGTTTTTTGTCGTTTCAATTGTTGTTTCTTCACAGTGAAACTTGTCTCAGTGCTGAAGGAGACAACAAAAATCGGTGGCTGATCGGTACTTCTGGAAGGGCACAGACTAAGCCTCTAAAGCGGAAAGGAGATCATTGCAGGCTGTTACCTGAGGTCTAGACAATCATGAGCGCTGTGACGACAGAGAATGGGGAATGATTGCTCGCTTTTTCTCATAATACAAGAATGGAGAAATTTCAAATGAGATCACAGAGCAGCAGGTTTGAAACAACCACCAGAGCCACTTTCCACATGGTGCAGAGTTATCCTGCGAAGCTTGCTGGCTGCAAATGGCAAAAATTCACTAAGCCACAAGACAAATCCAAGGGCAAAAGATCCATTAATGGTTTTAAAGACAAAGATGCTGTCCCTGACTGAGAAAAGCCCCTAGCTGCAGAACCTGGGTGCATGCAGGAAAGACTACTTACATTTGCCCTATTTTTACACTCTTCCTAGGCTACCGGTCTGGAGAAACCCGTCATCTGACCTTATGTGTTTTTACATAGCACTAGTGCCAACGCAAGCCAGCCTACACCTCTTTGGGCAAGGGCGCAGTCTGCCTGCTGACTTTGTGGCTGGCCTGAGCTTGTGCGAACGTGGAAGCACGCAGAGGACCAAAGTTAATACCCCCATACATCTGCCGATGCTCAAGGTGTGCATCGCGCCAGTTACTTGCTTCCAGTGCTTCGGAGCATGGGCTGGGTACCTCCAACCTACGCAGACATTGCCTTTGCTGGAAAACTGGTGGTAGCCACCCCTGCACCACCTTCTCCACATAGGGGAGACCTTATTGCAGCCTTCCAGTACTTAAAGCGGGCTTAGAAGAAAGATGGGGACAGGCTTTTTAGCAGGCCCTGTAGCAATAGGACAAGGAGTAAGGGTTTTAAATGAAAAGAGGATTAGATTTAGACTAGAGATAAGGAAGACATTTTTCATGGCGAGGGGAGTGAAACCCTGGCTCAGGTTGCCCAGAGAGGTGGCAGATGCCCCATCCCTGGAAACATCAGAGGTCAGGTTGGACGGGGCTCTGAGCAACCTGCTCTGGTTGAAGATGTCCCTGGTCACTGCGGGGGGGTTGGACTAGATGGCCTTTGAAGGTCCCTTCCAAATGTCCCTTCCCTATTCTATGATTCTATAGCTGAACTGGAGGCATGGCCACATAGCATGAGGGACACCGAGTACTTTACTGACATGGTAAAAGAATTTGTGGAATGTCTCTACTAAGTGCTGCAGCTTTCACGGATGTTGCCTGAACAGAAAAACTGAATCTTCACTAGAATATTCAGCATCCTTCTTAAAGACATCTGAAAGAAGCCATTCTGGCAACAGAACTGGTCAAAATTTTTTTAAAGAGGAAAAAAACAAAAAAGGATGGGGGATGGTGAGGAAAGTAAAATAGCCAGAAAAACCCAATCAAAATGAGAAGTTCTGATTATTTTTGTTTAGGACAATTATTTTTTCCTTATAGCTCTCTCCTGAATCAAATTCAAGCTAGTCAAATCCAGATCTTTCCAATTTTATCTGCAAATTCCAGAAAGATAGCTGCCTAGGAACAACTGGAAGATCCTACACAAACTTCATTAGAGTTTTTGCTACTCTTCTTTTTACTTTACCTTTAAAAAATTACATTTACCACCATCTTTACAATTGAAAAATATTGACATGTTTTGTCTTCATATTGTATATAATTTTAATTTCCAGATTTTAATATATATATATTTAGCCTAATTCTTTTTCAATTTCATATGCTTTCAGGAAATGGACAAGATAATTTCATGGGTCCTTTCTATGTCTAATTTCTTTTAATCTGTGAATTGCAAACATTTCTACAAATAGCCAAGGTTAGCCCAGATGTTTCTTAAAAGGGTAAGAAAACACCATAACTTAAAAAGGGAAATCATCAATGACTGAATCAAAGAGCTGGAATGCCATTTCTTAAGAGATAATAGCTGTTGTGACTCACGTTTTTACAATATGAGGCTGGATTTTTCCATTCCTCTCAGGCATATTTTTGAAGTACAAGGCTCCAAACATATTGTTTCTGTGATATCACCGTGCACAGAATGAACATTTCCCTCTTGCTTTGTCTTTGTTAAATTCAGTTAACATCGGTTCTTGCTGATAAAAATGTACTGGTTATGTAAACAAAATGTGCACATGGAAATAAAGCCCCAAGATGCATAGTTTCTATGGCATGGCAAGAAGCGAGAACAGTACAAACAAATAAGATATTGTTAGTGCCTGTATTTATTCAGAAAGATAAATGCCATTTTCCATTACAGTTTTAGCCTTACTTTCACAGGCTTCAGCCACCCCAGCTCAAAAGACCTTTCAGAACTTTCAGGTTCTCAGAACATGGTCTGTGTGCCCTACAAGTCTTTCCCTGACCCCCCGTGTGTGGGTGACCATCACCCATCTGGCCACTTTGGGCAATAGGTTGCCTGCAGAGGTGTAAATACAGGGAAAGTGGGTCCTGCTCACCTCCAGCTAGCTGCCCTCCTGCTCTTGCATGGACTCAGACCACCACCCTAGCACCTACCAACCCCTTACCATGGCCCAAGATGCTGACACGAGCCAGCAGGGAGGTCCCATTCCACAGAAGCAACAAGGGAAACAGAGGCTGAGGTCCTTGCCGTGCGCTACACGTGTTTGGACACTGACTTCAGAGAAGTCATGGCTTCTTGCACCTCCACCTCCTGCTTGCCCGGCCGTGGCATCAAGGACATACATGTGTGTATTTCAGACACTTGGCAATGATAATAAAGAAGCCAAACTTTAAGATCAACAATGTGGAAGTGCACTCACAGGCTAGAGGTTAGATACCATCAGAGATGCTCGTCACAAGGAGGATTGTATTCATTTAACCCTGCTGATTTCTGTGATGCCACTCAAGAAGCTACTACTGACCATGGGCTGTGGAGATGAATGGTAGCCTGTGGCAGAAGGTATGTTTCCACTGCAGTTCTGCTAGGCCTAAATCTTACAAAAAACCCATCA